CAGGATGGACTAATAATGTATACAGACTAGATCAAGGTATTATTAATCAATGTAGCATGCTCTTACAAAGGTTTATTAGTTATAGATAGGTTTGAATTTTTATCCATTACACCTCACAGTATTACAGTATCATGGAAACTTAGCATTCCAGCTATTAACAGTACACTATTTCTGAGTATCACTGACTCTCTTCAAACAGTTAATGATACAATTAATGTTACTGGACATAATGTATACACTTATACTCAAAACCTGTGTCCTTTTAATGAATATACTTTTGAATTGACACTGTCTATGCCAAGTTGCAATCAACAAAGCATTAGAATCATATCTACAGGTACAACTAATTTTGTAATTATTTCTGTTATCATTTATTCTTATAGAAGCACCAAAGCCTGACAATGTATCTGCATTATATCTAACCAATGAAACATTAATAATAAGATTTCAAGTAATTTCAAGCATTTTGTACTATACACTATAAGATACCACTAGATACTTCAGTTATTCATAAATAATATCCAGTTGCTTTTGGTTGGAGCTAATACTTTAAATACATCAGACCTAATGGGTATCGATAGTCTTCAGTATATTGATGAGTCTTATATTGTATACTGGAATATAAAACTAAATGATCATTCATTGTATTACCTAACAGTATCAGCAATTGGTACATATGGAACTAGTACTTCTGATCATGTAACAGAAATAAGTAAGATACTATTATCAATGTATGGTAAGTGTATGTATGTACTTATTATAGATACATATAATGTAAAGGATATAATAATAGAGAGGAATGAAGATATTGTCTGCTTTATTTGTGTTACTGAAGTGCTTAATGAATGTCAATTAATGATAGCAACACTGACACCACAATCAATACAAACTAATGGAACATGTTATTCATTTACTGATAATGGAACATACACTGTATATGCACATGATATTGAGAATGGAATAAAGATACTGACACCAGCAATAGTTATTGAATACTTAGTTGACTGGATTGAACCATTATACACAGGTAATTACAGTAATAAGATTATCCAATAAAATTTTGCAGAGAGTGAAGGATTGATATTCTCAATGGAGCCCAGTGCTACCTTGACTAGTTCAGGAATACTTACATGTACTACTGCTGCTAACAATAATAGTAATAGTCAAAGTAAAGTCATGATACTACTGTATTTTATTGAATACACAATCCAATTTAGCATCACTAGGTCAATCACAGATTATTATTAAAGTACTGGGAGGTTTCCTTGGGATTACAACATTTGTTGTTCTCATACTATCACTAGCAATGATTATAATACTGAGGAAAAAAGGTATAAAAGGAGACACATTACACTATTATTATTATCATTAATATTTGAAGTTAAAGCAAGGTCTAAAAACTCTATACCTGATCATACTCCAGAGACTTATGAGATTCCAATCACCACAAAAGAGGATCCAGCATTATATGAAATGATTAACAATAAAATACCATCAATTAATACCAATAACTACAGCAACTATACTTCTCTTAGTGTCAGTACTACTGATAACTCAACAATATATGATATTCCAGAAACATCAAGGCCACAAGTCTCATCTTGCCCATACAAAGTTGGACATTTTAAATGAAGCCTTACGTAATAAAATATGACATTTACAATAGTTTAAAACTTTGCATGTATACTTGAGTGTAAATATTCTGTGCATATAGGTCTAGTACACTGTTTATTGTTTTGAACCAATTTTAGTACAATAAATAACTATAGTAAAATGCACACAAACACATTATTATTATTGTAGTTCAATGTGTCAAACTAATTTGTATGCTTTTAGTACAATAAAAATTTAACAAACAACTCAATGATAAGTAATAATAGTAATTATTGGTATGCAAAGCTGAAAACATCCTTTGCTGCACAAACACAAACAAACAGACAACAAGTGTAAACTGATGTGACCAAAACTATAGATAAGATATAAACACAAAAAATAACAAAAACAGGCTGTGACTAAAACTAGAGACAAACATCAGTGCAATAATGCAGTGACATGCAAACAAAAGACAAACAAAATCCAACTATCATCATCAGTCTCATGTGCATCAATTCACTCAATTTTTAAAAAAACAATACCTTTTAACACAGCAAGAAATTTAAAAGTTTGAACAATAATGTGATTAAGATAATGCAATTAAGATCAAAATAACCAATAAGTTATACATGTACAGGCTGTTAGCAAAAGTAACTAATAAATAAAACAACAAACATTATAAATAAGAATTAAGTTAGTAGCTAATGCCACTTCAAAACAGATCAACAACAGATTCCCTGCGGTGTCTAAAAACATCAGTAGAACTGGGTACAATATCATTCCTCTGCTCATCAACAGTTTTATGAGAATCAGTTACATCTAAAAGAGGCTCATCATCATCATCATCATTATAGAGCATAGTAAACAATTTCCTCACTAGTACATTATACCAGGGTGCTTGTGATAGCTGCAAGTAGAGGTGATACAGTACAATTAATATGAAACTGGCAGTAAAAAGAGACAAGCAAGTATTGAACCAAATCTCTACCACACTGTCATCAGTATAAGCTACAGAAAAACCAACCATCATACATAAAATGAACAAGAACCAAACCTCAAGTATATTGTGCATTCGTTTCCTATAGACTCCTCTAAAACTATACCCAAGTGATAATACTATAGCTAGTACTGTTAGAAGCATGAACAACAGGAAGTAATGCGACTGAATGAAACTATCAACTAGAGTAACAGAGAGAAGGATTGGTATCCTAGCTACTAGCAGTAGACCAGGCCAGAACCGATACTCATCTTTCATTGGACCACTATAAGCATCAACTATAGGCTTGAAACGACTCCAGCATTTACGGAACAATTTGTAATTTGAGAGGTATTTCTCAATGAAAGGGTTAAATAAAAGGAACAGCGTGTATGGTATGACAAAGGTAATAGAGACAAACAGGGCAAATCCAAATAGCCAAGCATGTTTTCCTTTAGCATATTCAACATTAGGATCCTCATACCATAAACTAACTGATCTTATTGACTCATTTGTACAGTGAAGAGCTACTTCACGCTTGTTTAGTACAATAAAAATAGTACGTACTAGTTTAGTATACGAGAGAAGGAAGAGTGTAGACAGAACAGGAACAGCATGAGACCCCATCAGTCTTGATATCTTACCATATCTCCTACACAATTGTCTGATAACAATAATGACAAACCACAGGTAGAAAGGGAAAGCAAACTGAAGCCATTGTTTAGCATAAGTGTCCATACCATTGTAAAAACATATCTCAAACCCAAAGTCTAAGTTAATCCATGATATGACTTGATTCAAGACAGGTAGTGCTCCTTTCCTTGAAAAGACTGGCTCGTATAACTTGACAATGTTAGCATAGAACAATAGACCATTCAGTGTACCCACTGATACTGTTAAATTGAGAGCAATCAGTAAAACCACAAGTAGTACACCCATCACTGCAAACAGAGCAATCCAAGCTATCATCATGTAATTATTATGACACTGTCCACACTTGTTTGATCCCATTAGTAGACTGTATCTCTCTCTACATGATCCACACATTCTCTGTCCTCTATTATCCACACATTGAGTATCAGTGTCATTCAACTGAAAGGTAACAGGATTAGGAGAACAATAGAGGAGACAGTCCTCATTGATAATGCATGCATTAGGATTGGTTGCATTAGCATTGAAAGGTGTACTGGTATGATATGTTCCAATCCACAGTAGACCATTGTGTGAGATGTTTTGACTAGCTATATCACAAGTCACATTCTCTCTTGAAACACCTTGACTGCAAGCACAAGTCCTTAAGTTGCTGTCCATACTGAAACCAATGGGACATTCATGCATTGTGTAATAACTCACAATGTGAGAATTGGGAGCAAAATTATTGACCAATTCATTATAAGGAAGTGAGAGCACTACCTTATGTCTTGTATAGATAAACTGAGCTGGTGAATATTCAAAATATGAACAATTAGCCTCCTCCAAAGAGTAAGTAAACATTTTTATACCGTCAATCAAAAGATTCACTACGCCATCAGTCAAACTCAACGATGCACCATAACTATCATAACCAAAAAGAGCTACCTTAAATTTTATTTTTTGCCCGGGAAAGATGTGCTGTTCGGGTACATTATCAAGGCATGCAAAATACTGCCTTTTATAGAAATCACAAAAATATAGTCTGACGGCATCAGTAGTTGAGCTGATGATTGGGTTATCAATCAAAGAAAAAGACACGGACACATTAGTAAGAGAAAAACCAAATATGGAAAAGCCATATATGTCATTTCCTGCTGTTACTGCAGTGTTGTTTGAAAAAGTAAGTGGTATCAATGGACGAGGGTCTTTGTATGGTTCAGCATAAACAAACGGATG